GGAAGGCCTAGGCCGGGGCCTGCCCCTCGCCACACTCCCCGGCCTGCCGGGATGGGTGACCCGTTATGGTGCGGGCAGAGCCGCTTCCAGAAATGCCCTCACGCCGCAGCGGCGGGGCTGAATAGGAGCTGCCTTAAAAATCACCGCGCTCGTCAGAGCGGGGCCGTGCCGACTGTGCGGCTCTAGCGTGGTTTCGGGCCGTTACCGAGAGGAGCGGTGGTGGAGTTTTTAGGCATTGAGTTGTGGCTGTGAGGCCCAGCACGGCTGGGTGTCCTCTTGACGCCCACTGCCTCGGCTGCGGGCCCGGGGAGGCCGGCAGGGCAGGGCTGCCTCGGGAGGGAAGGAAGCCACCTCGGCCCACAGGAGGATAACGATCCTCTTTCACCATTTATTTGGAAAAATTGGCAGTATTTACACTTGTGCATGATGCAAATTCCCAGTGCATTGGGAGACGTGTCAGTAAAGGCGTGTAGGAGCAGCTTCCAGTTGTTCCATGGTTTTGCTCGATGAAGGGTTTTTTTCATTGGGGGGGGGGGAAGTATTAAATCCCAAATAACAAAATGCCTGGAAGAAAATTAACTGCTTTTGGAATGGGAATATATGTGACAAGACTTAGTGCCAAATGGGCTCTTCTTTAAGTGTTTCAAAACACTCTAAAAGTGGAGCAAACATATCATATAATCTTTCTCTGTCTTGTCTCATGTTGAGTGGTTGGTTGAGTTTAATGTTTTTGGAAGCATCTGTAACAGCAGGGACACCCATAAGGAAAAAATGAGTCCCATCACCCTGTGCAAAGCAGTGGAAATGAGTGTGAAAAATCTGTGCTTTTTTTTTCCCCTCCCTGATGCTGGCAGAGGTGTATTCTGAGTGTGAGTTAGGACACAAAGGGAGCAGGCTTCTGACAGGCTGCTTGTCAGATTTACACGGCCCAGTCTTCAGGGCTTTGGATTCCAACTTGAGCAATACCAGCGGGGCAGCTGTAGTGGTGGTTTTGCTGTTGGTCCCGTTTCTGTGGCTGCGGAAGCACTGCTGCTGGTTTTGGGGAGGGTTCGGGAAAACACAGGTGGTGAGGAGTGGGGATACCTCTTGGGAGCCACACAGATTTAAATCTCTATAAGCTGGTTAGGAAACTGCACCTTAACCTAATGCAATTTTTGTTACATCAGTCAATAGGAAATCAAATATTGACTTCAAGTTGAAATAAAGTTTACAACAGGGAGAGTTTGTGTGTGTTTGTTTTTCCCTGCTCATTTCAGTGAAGTCTGCAGCTCCTGGGTTTTTTGGCCTAGCTTAACTTTTTTGTTTTCCTTCTTTTAATGCATTGAAGGTTGGAGTAAGAGGGAAGGATATTGTGGTTCTTGGTGTGGAAAAGAAGTCTGTGGCAAAACTTCAGGATGAAAGAACCGTGCGGAAGATCTGTGCTCTGGATGACAATGTCTGCATGGCGTTTGCAGGTAGATGATCCCCTCGGGGCTTTGGCCATTAGGGTAGCACTTCTGGGTCTGTCCATGGATTCTGAGGACTGTGGGGAAGGAGTGCATTTCCACATCTGCTTATTCTTTTTTTTAAATAAGAGTAGCCTGCTGTATGGATATGTCCATCTAGAGCAAGCCAATGACGTACAGATAGAAAATGTGTTAAAGTTATTAAGGTCCTCTAGGTTTAATGTGAGGATGAAGACTGAGGACTGATGTATCATTGACACAGATATAGCCTGTTTAAATAGATATATTTAAATGTATATGTATGTATTTATTTAATATTTTATATATTTAAAATAAAGTACTAAAAGTTTTTCTATTGCATACAAAACCCGTATTACTAATATACATCACAGGAGCTATGAGACATTTGTCAGTGACAAGGACCTTTTCCCACATGCATCATATCGAGAAAAGCTAAATTTTACAGTCTTACATGAAAGAAAGAAAAAAAAAAAAATCTCTGTTCTAGTTGAGAATACTCCAATAAACAGCTTGAATTTAAAGCGTAAATATTCTGGTTCCACATTGTGCCTGTTCCAAATGCCTTAATTTCCATTGTTCAAAGCTTAAGCATGAAAATTTAAAAAGCCCAGTGTAAACGGAGAGAAGATGTATTTCAGGAGGTTTTTAGAGTCTTTGGCAGTGTAATGCCTTAACTAGCAAAGACAACGGCGTTCAGATTTGGGGTGCAGGAGCGATGGGCTCTGCTCCTTCTGCTGCCTTGCTTCCCTAGCGAGGCTGTAATGCAGGCAGGTGGGTTCACAAGCTTGAAAAGTGCTCCACTAGAAACAAGGCTGTCAATAGGAAGTGGCACCATTAGCTAACAAGTGAAACAGGAGTCATACTCATTTTTGCCAACTAACACCGTGCTGCTGCAGCCTCGGCAACTGGACAAGATCTGCTGTGCAGATCGACCTGTTTCGTAGTCTGGGGGCCTGATAGGAAGTCACACCAGTGTGTGAGAGAGCTGAGATTGCTTTGCTCCTTTGCTGTTGGCTGGACAGTTGGTTGGGCAGTGATACTCCCATTACCTCCTTCAGAACTGTGTGTGTTCCCTATCTCAAAAACCATGAAAGCTGCAAACTAAACCCTCTACTTATTTTGGTACATTGGCTTCTTTCTGTTGCCTTATAAATGCTGGTCTTGCTCAGCGAACCTGAGAAAGTATTTCTCATTTGCTTTTTTCATTGTGAGCCTTCTGGGGCAAGACCAGTTGTTTTCTTTGTGCATATGATACAAAGTGTGACTCTGAGAATACACTGTGGTTTCAGGGCTGACAGCTGATGCCAGAATAGTTATAAATCGAGCTCGTGTGGAGTGTCAGAGCCATAGACTCACCGTGGAGGATCCTGTCACCGTGGAGTACATCACACGTTACATCGCTAGTCTGAAGCAGGTATGCTAGGCTGCACAGCGGTGCTTGAACGTGCATCTTGGTGAGAAGTGCTGCGGACTGAGTGTGGCAGAGGTCTGTCCTGGCCTTGTTCAGTGCAGCTGGTACAAATCAGCATAGCAAAACACATTGCAGGTGTTGACTGGGACTGGGGATGTAGTAATAGAAAAGGAGGACTGATCACTGTTTGCTTTGTTTGGTTGTTTTTTTTTTTCCCCAAGATGAAGAAATTAATTAGTACTTGGAAGGACTGCCTAACTACATTTGTGATAGCATCAGGAACACTCTGCTAAGCCACAGCTCTAACTCACTCCCATAACAGTGGTGCTGTGGTGTTGTCAAAACATCTGCTCGGCTCCTGTTTATTTTTTTCTCCTACTAAGCCATTGCAGGGAGGATAGGAGGGAGCAAGTAAGTGCAGTACTTAATATATTTTACATTTGATATTCATTATTCATTTGATATTCATTGGCCAAGAAGGCCAATGCCATCCTGGGGTGGATGAGAAGGGGTGGTTGTAGGGCAGAGAGGTTCTCCTGCCCCTCTGCTCTGCCCTGCTCACACCACATCTGCAATCTTGTGTCCAGTTCTGGGCCCTCAGGTCAAGAAGGACAGGAACTGCTTGAAAGAGTCCAGCAGGGCCACAAAGTGATGGAGGGAGTGGAGCATCTCCTGCTGAGGAGCGGCTGAGGGAGCTGGGGCTCTTGAGCTTGGAGCAGAGGAGACTGAGGGGTGCCCTCATTCCTGGGGATCAATTTGGACAGGGCAGTGTCAGGAGGAAGGAGCCAGCCTCTGCTCTGGGATGTCCAATGCCAGGACAAGGGGCAGTGGTCCCAAGCTGGAGCACAGGAGGTTCCATGTGAACATGAGGCCAAATTTTGTCAGTGTGAGGGTGGCAGAGCATGGCCCAGGCTGCCCAGAGAGGTTGTGGAGCCTCCTTCTCTGCAGACACCCAAAGCCCTGGCCGTGTTCCTGTGTGACTGCTCTGGTGATCCTGCTCTGGCAGGGGTTGCACTTGGGGAGCTTTCCACGTCCCCTCCAACTCCTGACATTCTGTGATTCTGTGTGATTAATTTAAAATTAACTACAGCATCAAAATATGCCCAACTGCATTCTGTGATAAAGTTGTTCATTTTCCAGTGTATTAAACTGATTTTCAGCAACTAGTGGGGATTAGAAGAAGTCTTAATTTACTTATGCATGCACATATGTTAATATGGAAATGGTGCTAATGGTGTAATTCCTGTAATACTCAGTAGCCCGCCCCTTCCAAAGTTGAACTTTACTCTTTCACAGTCATCTCACATCTGTGTCTTCCATTCTGGCACATTCACCATTTCTCTCAAACCGTTACAAGCCGTAGATCTCGGGCAGTGTCCCTGTGGTGGTGACGCTGCCAGGTCACACAGCAGCGCCCAGGAACTTTGCTGCCCTGGTGTCAGTACAGGGCTGTGACGTGCGCTGTGTGCCCCCGCAGAGGGTGCCATGTTTTCTCATTGCAAACCATGGGTGAAAAATGGCTTTGTGTTTGGGTGTTGTCATCCTCTTGTTTTGGCTTCCTAAGCATGCTTGTCAGAGCAGAGCCTTATACCCGGGCTTGCAGACTCTGCCTCTCAGCACCACCCAGCAGCCAAAGGAGATCCTTCCTGATAGCTGTGATCACCTGGCAAACTTCTGCAGGTGTTAGGGACAGGGGTTGCAACAACCACCTCTTACTTGCCCTGCCTTGGTGTCTGTAAGACACAGAACCCTGACTTGAACAGGGAGACTGGGAAGAGAGCCTCCTAAAAATACTTGTGGTGCCTCTTCTGGTTGTAACTTCTACAGCATCCACTTTACACTCTGAACCACTTCTGAAATAAGTGTCTCTCATTTCTGATCAGAGATATACACAGAGTAACGGTCGCAGACCTTTTGGTATCTCTGCTCTCATCGTGGGATTTGACTTTGATGGAACGCCGCGGCTGTACCAGACTGACCCCTCCGGGACCTACCATGCCTGGAAGGTGAGTCGACTGTGTCTCTTGCGGAGATGTGATGAAACATTTGTGAGCTAATGTCTCCTTTTAAAAGAGAAGATCTCACTGGCCAGGTGGTGCTGGCTCACAGCTGCAAAAATCCTTCATGGTCAAAATCACTGAGAATGGCAGTCTGCAGTTCAGCTTTACCTGAGAAATCCTAGCCTGTTTTCCAAAAAAACCCACCTGTGCCTGACCTTTCTGTGTGATGTATGGGCAGGACCATGTTTCAGTTTATGTAGCTGGACAACTCTTATTTCTTGCTTATTCTGTAAGTTAAGTCTTTTCTAAGCTTCCATTCATCATCTTTTTCCCCCTCAATGTTTCCAGGCCAATGCCATTGGCAGGGGGGCCAAATCTGTGCGTGAATTTCTGGAGAAAAATTACACTGATGAAGCCATTGAAACAGACGATCTGACTATTAAACTTGTCATCAAGGCTCTTCTTGAGGTGAGTCTCATTTGGAGTGTGACTCTTCACTGTATGTCTGGATTAACTTCTTCAGTGTGAGTACCTGTACTTTCCTGGGGCATGCACACCTATTTTCTATAAAAGGGTCTGTGAAATCTGTTCATTTCAGGCTGTGGGTGTGGGATTAAATTCCAGGTTCAGAATATTTCGGGTAACAGTTGCCATAGCTTACACAGAATTTCCTAGCGGTTCTCTGGGGAGGGAAGGAGACTTTGGTTGTGAATGTTAAAACAAACACATGAGAGATGTGCTGAACCACATGCAGAATATTTTACTTTTACATTGGTGTTTAAAGTACAGAAGTCAGAGGGTGGAGAAGAGGGGTTCTTCACCAGCCACTGAGTGCATTGATGCCAGAAGGAAGACCTGTATTTTTTAAGTTACGCTGCTACTGGAATCAGCTTAGAGCCAATGAGTGAAATACTCCCCAATACTCCCCATCCATAGCTGTTCTGCTTCTAAGACGACCTGAAAGGGGTTTGTTAGGATTAGTGAACACACTCCCAATCCTCCCCCTGCCTCTCGTTAAGGTTGTGCAGTCTGGTGGGAAGAACATCGAGCTGGCAGTGATGAGGAGAGAGCAGCCGCTGAAGGTAAGGACTTGCTTTGGTTTTTCTCCCTTTGTAGCGGTTTCTCTGATCCTGTCCTTGTTGATCTGCTTTGACTTCCAGCCCCTAATCTCACGTTGTGCTCTGGAAGATATTTCTGCTTATTCTCACTGGCTGGGAAGTATTATTGTATCTGCACGGAGTACCCGTGTCTGGATAAACACCAGTTAACCACTCAGAACTAGGACTGCCTAAATGAAAGGCTCTAAGTTGCGTTAGTCTTTTGAGTCACTTGTGTGTCTGTTTTAGATCCTAAACCCTGAAGAAATTGAGAAGTACGTGGCTGAAATTGAAAAAGAAAAGGAAGAAAATGAAAAGAAAAAACAGAAGAAGACATCATGATAAATGAAATTTGACTGCTTAGCTGCATATTTTTAATTCAAGTGATGGGTTATTCTGTATAGACATGTAGGCATTCCACATATTCATAACTGTGCCCCCTTGAGATCTACAATAAACATACTGATTTTTTTTAAAGCTGTCATTTTAAAAAAGAAATGTTCAGTGGATTTTAACTACCTAGGATTATTTGGTTGGCTACAAAACCACAGTAGTGACCCATTAAAGGACAAAGACTTGACTTTTTTTCCTGGGACACTTCACTTTGTTTAATGATTTTCTTCAACAGTCTCAGTTGTCAGTTTCTCCTCTTTATTTAATTAGCTGTCCAAGGGTTGTGTTACTTGTGAACGTAACTAATCTGGAATGATACTTTTTCTTCCCTAACTCACATCTTCACATGTAAATGCCACAGGTCTGGCCCTGAGCCTGGCAGGGGTTTGGTTTGCCTCTGTTAGGGGCACATGCGTGATGCAGCTGGGTCAGAGTGAAGTGTTGCTGCTGTGATTGCTCACTGGGGGATTTACAGACCAGTTGCTTCCTAATGCTAAAAATAACTGCAGTGTGTTACATACAGCACAGTTAAACCATGAAGCTCTCCTCCCCTTTTTCCTTTTGTGCTTTCCCTCACTTCTTCTGCCTGCCTTACTCACCAGAGCTGGGTTGAACTTGGCTTCTGCAGGAGCCTGGTTGTCCCTGGTCTCAGCAAATTCTCTTCTCTCTTCAGCAGAGAGATGGCTCACATGCTGATCACAGACCAAGCCTCTGCACTGCTGTACCCCAAAGTCACAGCACTCCTGAGAAGGTGCTTCTGTCCCCTCAACCTCAGCCCCTTCCTCCTGCCTGTCTCCATGTTAAAAACTGTGGGTTTTTTCTTTTGTTCCTGTTTATCTTTCAATACAACCCTTAAGTCAAGCACAATAAAAGGCTTTGTCCATCCTGCCTGTACTGCTAAGGGCATCTCTTTACTCCCAGCTCTCAGGAAAGGTGAGGGTTGGCCACTTTGCCAGTTGTGCTGTAGGGCTTAGTGTTGTCCTTCCCTCAGGCCTCTCCTGAGCTGTCACCCCCAGGGCATACTGCTTGCAGCAGTAACAGGGGCCACTTCATTATGAGATTTCTCTGCTTATATCCACCAAGGGGGCAGAAGAGGAACAGCCCTAGAAGGCTCTACAGGCTGCTGTTCATAGCCAACACCTGGTTTTACAGGTACAAAGCAAGACTCACCCAGCAGCAAGCATCACAAGGACTGGAAACATCCCAGTACTCAGAGAGGCCACCCTGCCCCCCACCACCCAGGAGCCCAAGGGAGGCTGCAGCCAGACCTGTGCTGGCTCTCACACACTCCCCAGCCTCCCACACCACAAAGCAGCTGTTTACAGCTAAATGCTGCAAAGCAAAGTGTGGGCAGTGTCCCACAGGAATCAAGGCCAGGAAAGCTGCACTTGGATCTCATCAGCTAGAGAAAGCAAGATGCTGGAATGCTGTGGTGTTCATGTATCAGTCCCAGAACTGGAATTCTGAAGTTACTAAAGCTGTGTTCAAAGCTGCACAAGTCATTGCTATCATCCCCCTGGACACTGCTGGGAGTGCAGCAGAGCTCCCCAGAGACCAGACACCCCAGAGCCAAGGGGAACGACTGAAGGGTGCACAGTGAACCAGCCCAGGGCTGAGCTGCAGCCGTCAGTGCCATAGAGCAGCAGCCAGGTACAGTGCTCAGCATGGAGAGGCTGGGACATAGCCCTAGTACAGCAGCTTCAGTAACAATGAATGTGTTAGGTCAGAGGCTTTGCTATAGAGACAAGGGGAATTACTGCCTTAAAAAGACACAAAAAGGCATTATTAGACAGAAGTTAATGACTTCTCAGTTGACTCCAGCAGTGCAATGCCATCTTTTACACTTAACATCCCACTGACTGTTTTGAGAGGCTTGCAGCAGCTTCCAAAGGAGCTGTTTCAGTGCACACCTCATTCTGCCAGCAGGAGCCCAGACACTGAAGCCAGTTGTAGCCACTCAAACAGCAGTGCTGCCACCCAGAACAAGCTGCAGGCCAGCTCACCAGCCCAGGGACTGGGGCTCCATGGGGCAGGCCCAGGGCAAAGGGCAGCTCAGGGCAATTTGGGCAACAGTAACCGTCCTAGGGCTGCCCCAGGACGCAGGGTAAAAGTCATGAGGGCCAGGGTTTTAAGCTCACTTCAGGCCCTGTGTGATACCTTCCCAGCCTGTCAGAACTCTGCAACATGCTTTTCTGAGGTGGAAGTGAGCCCTGGTAGGACCAGCACCTGACAAGTTGTACAGAGCTACACACAGAACAAAGCAGGAGGAAAACATTAAACATTTACATGTTTATTATAATTACAATTTACATTACTCCAAAGAGCAGGCCCACTGCTATGTTCTAATTCTTAGCAATAAAGTCCTACAAAAATAAATCCAAGCTTTTACAGTAACCTAGGCCAATGCATAACTAAAAAAATCTAGCTATGTAAGGGGTTCAGTCATCAAGGTGCTTTTTCAACAAAATTCCCTACCAACCAAAACCAGGACACATACCTATAGCAATTAAACCCAGAGTCATGCAAACAAATGTAACCCCCCTCCCAGCCCCTCTCCCCACATACAGATTTTTAAAAACAAAAGGAAAACAACTAAACTATTTACAGTATGGGGGGTACAGAGGAAACAAATTAAACATGCCCATCTGTTAAGCTTCATGGACTCCCATCCCTAGGTTAATGAAAACATCCCATAGTGTTCCATCACAGCCTACTAGCAGACAGGAAACTCTGTTCAGCACTACCCATGAGCAAGGTACAAACCAAGGCAAGAAGTCAGAGTTTGGATCTCCTTCCCAGACAGTCAAGTGCTGCCATAACTCTGCTGAGGACATGAGCGAGCCTCTCGCCGCTCCTGTCCCACTGAGGGCACAGCACACACTGGCCCTGTGCTGCCCTGTCCCGGTCAGGAGCTCCAAGCCTCTGAGAAGCACCCAGCAGCCTTCAGCCCAAGGGAGAGTCGTGGTTCTGTGTGAACCTGCAGTACCTCCACGTCAGTACCAGCCAAGAAACAGTTGCACAGTCATTTACACTACTACATGATCAACAACCCAGTATTCCCAAGTGACGATGTACAGAGCTCTGCAGCACCAGGAGCCCATTCTCCCAGATACCAAATGCTACTTCACATCTGCTGCTGAGAACAGACACCAGCAGCACCAACAAATCAGTTTGGTTACTCAGAATAAACAAATTATAGCTGATTCATTTCAAGTGAGCTTTGGTTCCATGTTAAAACAGCATGATTGAGCTTCTTCAGGGTTCAGAAAAAGGAGTCTGACTTTAACCTTAGACTATAGCAGCCTTTGAGAGACCCAGAAAGAAGAACCAAGTACATTAGTCTGCACTTAAAAAAAATAAACACGAACAAAAAAGACACCCTGAAGAAGGTACCCCTGAACACATTCCCTCTTCCAAAGAAATATTCCAGCTGAGAGTTGCTGGTCCAAAATAAGTCTAGAATGTAAGCAGTAGTACATGAAGTTCTGTCACTTGAGCCAAGACAGTAAACAAGATGAACCATTTTCCCACATTAGTGCAGCAGTTGGTTGTTTTCATTCTATTTACAGTTTCATCCTCTCAAGGAGAGATGTTAGAACCTATTCAGAAAAAAGGCAGAATGAGATTTGATACAATGGAAATCTTCCCCAAAAAAGCAAAGTTCACACCTGGGTATCAGCTGAAACACTCGGACAAGCAGCTCTCTTTCTCAGGCAGGAGGTTAGCCCAAGAAACAACGAGAACAATCAACATGTTAAAGAACACACTAAAACCACTCGTATTTCCTTCTACCACTTTGAAGGATCGATCAGATACAGTAAGGAACAATTCTTGATTGAGACTGGAGAGCAAGAGAGGTTGTACAGACAGTTCAGTCAAGGAATAAGAGACAAACCTGGCTCAGAGAGTATTTATTCTTGCTAAAAAACTTGCCTCTTAAGTTACACTCTGCCAGTACCAGCTCTGTGAGTGGTTTGGTTTCTCCTCGCTGCTCCGCTGCCCCTTCCACCTCGAAATCCACCACGAAAGCTGCGGCCACGAAGGAACCGCCCAGACACTCCAAACGTCTCCGTGTTGAGCTTCCTTTCTTCAGCCCACGTGGTACGCCTAGAACTGAACAAGACTGTGTTCAGATTTAATACAAACATCAAATAGCCAGGCTCATTCAGCTAGGAAGCTTCAAGCACCCCATTCTGTTGCACTGCACCGAGAACCGGCTGCAACGCACATGTGCCCAGCAGCTCTGCTGAGCATGGACTTGACAGCGACAGCTGTTGGCTTTTGTAAGCTACTTGCATGCTGGGAAACTAAAGATGGTCCTACAAAAGGGTTGAACATTGCCTCACCAGCATTGCAAACCCTGTCTTGTTCTCCTGAAGGCTACACACTCTTGACTCCAGTGAAGCCTCTCCAGAAACGCAGGAAGCCCTGTCACAACTGAGGTTCAGCAGGCTGCTACTGAGGGAGCCCCGCAGCACCAGCATGTCCCTTCCTCAGCAGAGCCTGTCCAGCCCTGCACACCTCACAGTGAGAGAGCCCTTGGAAGAAAGCTTTGCTGCAGGGAAGCAGAAACGCTACCACAAGGACTTCACCTACTGACGCTCAGGGGATGGCTGACTTCAACAAGCAGTTGACAACATCAGTGTTAGCAGCAAAAGATGAAGCTTTCTTTTAATATTGCCAACATTTAATTTAATGCATTTCCACAGACAGACCTGAGCTCCTCTCTACCTGAACTCCAGGCTTAGCTTGCTCCTGTCTGCAAGTTACACCATGTTCAGCACATCATGACCCTGAAGCCTCCTCCCACATAAGAGATAAGAAATTTGTTTCCAATCAATGGGTTCAAAGTCAGTACTGGAAAACAGAACTGGAAATTCTTGTATCATAGTTTAGGCAAGTGTATCAGTACCAGTTGAAATCCTTGCTTCCTGTTTGATGCCAGTGCAGGAAGCTAGGTTAATATCACTCACAAGCCATCAAATGCATGGCAATACTCCCTTCTAAAGACTGTTTTGCTGACTTTCTTGCATTCTAAGATTTTTAAAGAATTAAACCACATGACAGATTCTATCTAGAATTCTATGCCAAAAA